CTCAGCCTGTGACTGAAAGAGTTAGTAGTCAAAAAGTGAAGCACCTCATGGTTTAGTGTTGGGACCTTTAGCTCTTTTTTATTTACATCAATGACATAGATGAAGGAATGGACACATTACTGAAATCTGCAAGATGATATTAGGGATTTTGGGTGTTGCTGGCTGTGAGGAAGATGTTTTTGATTTACAAAAGGACTTGGATTAATTGGTGAGTTGGGTGAATAAATGGCTGATGGCTTTTAATTATATTAAGTGCAAATTAATTCATATCGGATACTATAATTTGAATTATGAATATAATTTTGATGGGAATAATCTTAACTGTTTTAAGATTATGAAAAGAATCTTGGTGTTCTAGTTGATCAGTCTTTTATGCCATCCAAGCAATCCACTGTTGCTATGAATAAGGCAAATGGGATTTTAGATTGCATCTATAGAAATACTGAATACAAACCTCATGAGGTTATAATTTCATTGTGTAGATCGTTGGTTAGACCTACGGGACATAAATATAACGTTTGGCAGCAGAAGAATCAACTTCAGCAAAGAAAGCTTTATTTTCTAACAGGTTCGTTGATCATTGAAATGGGTTGCCTTCAGATGTGGTGGGTGAAGTTAATTCAAGGGAGTTTAAGGGAAGGCTTGAGAAACATTTGAATGATAAGGGCTGGCTTTGAGTGTTTTAATTTAATTTTAAAGTTTAGTTTTGTGATGGGACAGCCTAAATGGACCAACAGGTCCCTTGTTATCTTTAAATTATATCTATATTTATAACAAATATTAATTTCAACTATCAATTCCATAAATGGTCTGAAAATTATGCAGAAAAACAATACACAAATAATAAACCTTTCCTATGTACAACAAAAATGAGTTGTAGAAACCTTACAAATTTTTATTAGTATATGAACCTCTCACCTTTTCTCCTACTCTTGTGATCAGCGATTCCAATCTGTCTTCTATGTCCCTTGGTTCAGATCTGACCCGTCTGCGTTTTCGAGGGCATTCATCTATGCATATGATAAATAGGATTTAGAAAGTAAAACAATTTTTACATAGTACATCTTTTTGCTGATACCTTGTGCACAGTTATATACATATCTTAGAACTGTAATGAATACTGGTTAGTGTTTTTTACCAGTCTTATAATAAATACTTTAATGGTGATATAATTTACAAACATCATTAAAATGTTACTGCTGGTGTTACTTAACCTCATATCTAAAAGTAAACTTCAGAAATTTATCTTTTTCTCTTTATTAGCATTTGTAGATGTTAATTTAACGTACAAAGTACATTATAAAAACCCATAGCTGTTTTATTCACAATGAACTTGGAATTTTGCTTGATTTTTTTTTTTTTTACATAAGGTAATAATGAAGAAGAATAACCGTGTGGTTGTTTATTTTCATTAATAATTCAAAACACAAATAGATATCACAGATAGAATTTAACACTATCTTTTAAAGTTTCAGAAAAATGTCATCAAATATGTTGCAAACATGTAATGAAAGGGTTCTTTCAACTTCAAAGAAACAAGAATTATGAACGACTGGTAATAGTTACATTGATTGATACATTATTGTTATACAATTAATCTTTTTTATGTTATTTAACTACCCTGATGTTACAATATATAAGTAGCAAACCACAAAGGACTCAAGAAGTAAGAATCACTAACTGGGACATAAAAACACAATTTTTCATATTTTTCGGTTACACACTAAGTTATCTTCAACCAATTATGACAGCTTATTACGTTATGTGTAGGCTTTTCAAGTTACAAAAAATAACTTACAAGTAACCAGAAAGATACATCTGGAACTTACTTAAAATATTAGAACAAACTAATGTAGCTTTCATGCAATTAAAAGTTTTTCAATGTTGTATTTAGCAGTGAATAATGATAACATTCATACTACTTGTTTCTAGTAATAAAACTAACAACTGACACTGCTCCAAACATTTTGTCTTACAAGTATAGAACTGGTCTATTGTTCTTTACTGGAAAACATTTTACTAGTTGTCTCAAGTTTAACTAGTAAATGAGTAGCAATTCAAAATATTAACAAGCATTAGCTTTCAGCTAGAAATAGAAACAGTAAAGTTAACATTGTTGCATTATAGCTACAGATTTAAAACAGAAAATCCACTTTTAGACTTCACACTTTCATGGAAAAAGAAACAACATAGGTTACCAAAAACAATAACACAATAAAATTATCATGCTAACTCTTAAGTTTTTCACCCTTATGTCACTGAAAAATAAAAAGTACGTATTTAACATCATATCAAATTTGCTGGATGTTTGGTGTCAGACTTTCTTCTCAAATTCTATAATGGATAAAGGAAAACAAAACATGTAATCATTACATGCTTTCTTTAAAAAATCAAACATGTTTAAATTTTATAGCCTTTCATAGAAACACAAATGTGTTATTGTAATAAGTCAAAAACTTTACAAGTGTGTGAACTTACATGAAAAATTAAAACTTTTTAACTGGTCAGAAGTCATGATTTGATTTGATAAAATTTCCTGTTGTCTGAAATTTGTGATAAAATGCACATAATGCGATTGAAAACCATAACTATGCTGATGAACAGAATACTAAAAGCTCTCTTAAGATGAGTAATGAACATTTGCTTTATTAGAAACCATTTTAAAACACACTCATAAAAATGTGCTGAACACTAATTCCAATTTTATTTCAACCTAAAAATAGCAATATTTAAATATTTAAGTGTCAGCCAAGATTAGCATAATAATAATGTTTAAAGGTTAATTTTTCAGTTATCAATGTTCAATGTTGCAATTTATAGCATAAGCTTAGAAACAAAAAAACAAACTATTTTTCTGATAATTACTTTCATGGGTTACATGAAAATAACAGCCTTTGTTTTTCAATGTTGACAGCACATGCTTTTTTTTTTGTTCTGCCTTACCATACAACTTATCTACAAACACTAACACCTTTAGGTATGATGCATATGAAAAAATGATTTCTGTTAACAGTTTGTAGAATTAAAAAAAATACATTTAACTCTTTCCCTACAGCTGGATCAAAGTGTTCAAGTAATGACCTTTTACAGTATTACATTCAAAGTTTAATTAAACAACTTTAGTAGCAATATATGACAATAAACTTGGCATGAAAATTTCTAGTAGTTGCAGAACATCACGATCCAAACAGAGGGTAATGAATCATTCATGTAATGTGATACACCCAACATAATCCAGTTCTACATTTTTCTCTGACCTTTGGACACTCTTTACAATAAAAAAGACTGAATATCAGCTGGCAATGGAAAACATTCCTCACAAATACACCAGTCAGTGTTTCCTAGATGGTCTGATCTTATACCATTCAATTCTAGGTCATTGTCACTGCTATTCTCCTTTTGATCTCAGTATTTTCAGTTAGAACAGACAGTCCTTCATCTGTGAACTCTGGGTAGAAACTATACCCTTGTATTTTCACAATATTATCCATTTTAATTATCAAACTTACACAAATAAATGACAAATTACATGTATATTAACTGATCCATGCTTAGCACAGGTGACATCAGTATCAAGCAATGACTGTTCACAAAATATGTGGCAGTTTTTGCTTCCAAGCTATGTGTGGAAAGATAGATTTTTTTTTTTCTCATGCTTGGTGGTTGACTTATTATAGTATGTATTTTAAGTGTAGGCCATAAAAAAGGGCATACATTTTATTAGTGAAGGGTTCCTTTAAAAGGAAAGGCGTGCAAATTTTTAATCTTTAATAATAGTACTGACATGTTAAACAGTTTGGTTCATATTTAAACGTAAATTAAAGTGGTGATTTCATTTTCCTTTTTACTAGCACTAAATCATTACACCAAACTACCAGTCATTTTAGTAACATTACCATTTTACTGGCAAATATACCAGTGTAGGCTAAATACTAATAGTAACTCTAATTGAATTTTCACTGAACCTGAACAAGTTCTATTACTATTACTGAGGTATCCAACCCATAGCTAGTGATACTGTGAGGCAAAAACTTGTGGCACGCTTGTTAATTAGAATAGAAAATACATGCTGTAGCATAGCACATGGATTGGTTCAGTGGTTGCTTGTCGAAGCTCCTCCTTCCCCTTTTCTCTAGACCTTCGTTTAGAATTTAGAGTGCCTAAAAATTATTGGTTAAGTGACACCTTACTCAAAATTCAGAACCCAAAATTGGCACAACTACTGAAATTAGTAAAATGGTTGGTAACCCTTATAAATAATGATAATAAGTTAGTTCTACAGTATTCAGTAAGCCTATACATATTACAATGTTACACTGTTGACAGTGTTGTAGCGAATAATCTAAAATGCCGAACTTACCGTCGTCATAACCGTAACTCCGTCGTCGACTCATATTTCAATATCAATTAAATAACGAAACAAAAGTTATCGTTCAGGCTTATTCGACTACGCTTCTATATAATGCAGTTCTCTGAAATCTTAATTAACTTTCAATTTTTCAGTTTAAGCCTATATTTAAATGAATGAATACGACTTCACTTATTTTACTACGCCCTCTTGTGTCATTATTTTGTGCAAGTAAATTATAATTTTCTATTTTTATTTAAGCAGTTTCATTTTTAAACATGTAATATAAATGTACATTATTTTCGCAAGATAAGGGTTTATTTTTGAATAATATATTTCGATGTTTGTTTGTTTTTAATTTCGCGCAAAGCAATACGAGGGCTATCTGCCATAGTCATCACCATCCACCGCCAACTCTTGTGCTACTTTTTTACCGTAACTATATAACGCCCCCACGGGTGAAAAGGCGAACATGTTTGGTTGGATGGGGATTCGAACACGCGACCCTCAGATTAAGAGTCGAGTGCCCTTACCCCCTAGCCATATCGGTCCCGAGGGCCTTTTAATAAAAGGTGAAACATTATAATTAAATTTAAGACTGTCTCGCCTGCTTTGCAAAGTAAATGTTCAACTGCAGTAAACAACTGGATTATCGTCCCGCCCAACAAGAATTTTTTTATGTTGTAATTTACATTATAAGAAATTGATGTCGCAGTTAAAAATACTTGTGTGCAAAAAATTGCACCGTTACTCAAACTAGAATCGTAATAGTGAATTTGAATTTTTTTATATGTAAAAACTGAAATACCTTGCGATGGAAAAATTCTAAAATTACAATATTACCTCATGAACATTAACATATAAAAACGTAGTATTTTTATTAATATGTGAAAATTAGAATATTAAGAAACACAAAGTGATGATACAGGTTCATACAGCAATTGGTCAGTTGCAATGTATTGTTACACTTCTGTGTTCGTTTGTTAATTTCCCGGTATAAATTCTTCCCTAGGAACTTCAGAGATACAAGTCCTTTCTTAAATAAAACTAGTTTATTCTTTCTCAATTCAACTTTGCAATACACTTAATTTCCACAATCACTTTAAACACACGTTATAATTCACAGTGATTCACGCACTTACTTACGGTCGCTACCGCGCTTGACTCAGTTGTCCGTCTTTATATCTGCCTGTCTGCAATTCAATTCCGATTAACTTGTCTCACGTTATCCAGCGCACTTATATACAGGAATAGAGAATGCCTAGCACATACTGGATTATTTATGATGTTCCCCCATCCTTCTAGAATATCATGACGTGTTATCAGCGTCACGTGACTACCGCTGTCGTAACATTATTATGTTTGTTAATTACATCTCGTTTGTGGGATTGAATCTATGTTTATTAAGAATGAAATGTTCTAATGTAATTTACTATTATTAATAATATATTTTAATATGAATAAAATATTGTAATTGAAATGAATTATTACTCCAGAATATCTAATTAATAATAAAATAAAATGTATCACTGTGGGACAGCGGTAAAGTTATGGCCTTACAAATAAAATTATGTGACAATATTTCAATTATGATAAATACTGCAATGCACAAGAACATCTAATCCCTAAAAAAAGAAAAAAAAACAAAAAAACTTGCGAGAA